CCAGCCTTGTTTTTTTTATTCTATTCAGGCCAGTCCATGTCTTTTTTAACTGGTATGTATAGCTAATACACATTCAAAGTGGTATTGACATAATTGGTAATATGTATATATGTTATTGTTTTCTATTCTTATACTTGACTGTTTTTTTAACTTCTTCACTTTTTCTGCTTTCATTTTAACTGAGCATTCTGTATGATTCTTTTTTTTTTTTTTTTTTTGAGATGGAGTTTTGCTTTTGTCACCTAGGCTGGAGTACAATGGCACGATCTCGGCTCACTACAACCTCTGCTCCCAGGTTCAAGCAATTCTCCTGCCTCAGCTTCCCAATAGCTGGGATTACAGGCATGCCACCATGCCCGGCTAATTTTTGTATTTTTAGTAGAGACGGAGTTTCACCCATGTTTGGTCAAGCTAGTCTTGATCTCCTGACCTCGTGATCCACTTGCCTCACCTCCCAAAGTGCTGGGATTACAGGCGTGAGCCACCGCACCCGGCCATAAGTCTACTTGTTTCTTAAATTTTATTAGTGAATTCCCTAGAGTTTGTAGTACATCCATTTACAACTAATGGACCTTCAGTTTCAAATAATGCTATACTGGCTTTGAGAGTAGCACTGGTATATACTTACTGTTCCAAATTCCTTCCTCCCATCCAATATAACATCACGTCATTCATTTGCCCTATTGGAACCTGTTACTACCCCAATACATTGCTAGTATTATTTCAATACAAATTTGTATCTGGTTAGATCAGGTAGGTATAACAAAAATATTCCCTAATATACTGGGTGCTTTTCAGTACCTTAATTTCTTTCTTTTTTTTTTTTTTTTTCGAGATAGAGTCTCACTCTGTTGCCCAGGCTGGAGTGCAGTGGTGGCGATCTCAGCTCACTGCAACTTCCGCCTACTGGGTTTTTAAGCAATTCTCCTCGCCTCAGCCTCCTGAGTAACTGAGATTACAAGGAGCTCACCACCACGCCCAAGCTGGAGTGCAGTGGCGCAATCTTGGCTCACTGCAAGCTCTGCTTCGCGGATTCACGCCATTCTCCTGCCTCAGCCTCCTGAGTAGCTGGGGACTACAGGCGCACCGGCTACCACACCTGGCTAATTTTTTTTTTTTTTTATTAGGGGTTTCACTGTGTTAGCCAGGATGGTCTCAATCTCCTGACCTCGTGATCCACCCACCTCGGCTTCCCAAAGTGCTGGGATTACAGGCGTGAGCCACCGCGCCTGGCCAATTTTTTTTGTATTTTTAGTAGAGACGGGGTTTTGCCATGTTGGCCAGGCTGGTTTTGAACTCCTGACCTCAGGTGATCCACCCGCCTTGGGCTCCCAAAGTGCCAAGATTACAGGCATGAGCCATCGTGCCTGGCCTCCAGTACCCTAATTTCTGAAGGAAATTTTATCTCCAGCTTTTCTTCCCACGACTTAGTAGGTCTGCTGTGCGTCTTAACTGTAATCTGTTGTTTCAGGAGATCGCAGGCTTTTTGTGTATTTTGCAACATTTTGAAACAGTTCTTGACACATTTGACCCTGATTGGGTTCCATTACTGATGAAGTAGAAAAGAGAACCTCCTTTCAGACCTTTGGATAGTCCCCAGACGATTGGAAAATACACAGGCAATAATTTGCAGATAAGACCTGATCTGCTACCTCTAGGGATCCACACTGAAAACTTGGTCTGCTGTCTTTGAGATTGGCTTTGATGTGAGGAGGGATTGGGCCAAGGACAGATAAAAACTCCACTAAGCTCTTCTACCATTTTTTGCTTTCCTTTTTCTGTCTGTTTATCTCCCTGTTAATAGTATGGGATGCCAAATATTATAGTTTCAAAATCCTTTATCTGTTTTTGGAAAGCTATAACTTTCTTGGTTAGAAGGGTTTTTGGGGGGGTTTCTTTTTGTTTTTTGTTTGTTTGTTTTTGAGATGGAGTCTCGCTCTGTCACCAGGCTGGACTGCAGTGGTGCGATCTTGGCTCATTGCAGTGTCCGCCTCCCAGGTTCAAGCAATTCTCTTGCCCCAGCCTCCTCAGTAGCTGGGATTACACGCCTGCACACCACCACACCCAGCTAAGTTTTTTGGTATTTTTAGTAGAGACAGGATTTCACCATGTTGGCCAGGATGGTCTCAATCTCCTGACCTTGTGGTCCACCCACCTCGGCCTCCCAAAGTGCTGGGATTACAGGCGTGAGCCACCGCGCCCGGCTGGTTAGAAGGTTTTTAACCTTTTCAGACATTGGTGACTTTTATTAGGTTTGGCAATATAATCTTTGTTGACTACTAAAAGTCTCTTTAGGAATTTAGGGAATATTATAGATAATCATGAGAGGTGACATTGAGTTTTTTCTTAGAACATGTGCAATCTTTCCCCGTCTTTCCTTCTCCTTTGTCATTATCCAGTGCAAAATTTGTAATTTTTCCATTGAGATAGTGAGTTGTTTTTGGTTTTGTTTTTTGAGACAGAGTCTTGCTCTTTTCCCCAGGCTGGAGTCCAGTGGCACGATCTCAGTTTACTGCAACCTGTCTGCAATTCTGCAATTCAAGCAATTCTGTCTGCCTCAGCCTCCCAAGTAGCTGGGATTACAGGCGCCCGCCACAATGCCTGCCTAATTTTTGTACTTTTTAGTAGAGACGGAGTTTTGCCATGTTGGCCAGCTGGTCTTGAATTTCTGACCTCAGGTGATCCGCCCATCCGGCTTCCCAAAGTGCTAGGATTACAGGTGTGAGCCACCGTGCCCGGCCTGCGAAATATTTTTTATTAGTCTTTTGTCGTGCTTAACTACGTTTGGTCTAGAGGAAACCAGTTGCCAGTTTCCAAATGTTCTCTCTTAGTGTAATTGCATAGGATGGGCTGAATATCCCATGTAACAAATTGCAACCGAACATGTGAAACGTTAGATACTAGGGTCCCTCAGTAGCGATCCAGTGTCCAGAGTGTTTACTCATAACTGTCTTAGTCTGATTTTGTTACTTATAACAAGATTACCTGAGCCTGGGTAATTTATAAAAAACACTGTTTTTTATACTTCTGGAGGCTAGGAGGCCCAAGATCAAGGCTTGGCGTCTGGTAAGAGCCTCCTTGCTGGTGGGGACTCTGCAGAGTCCCTAGATGGCACAGGATATTGCATGGCCAGGGGCCCAGAGAAGAGTTCAGGTCTCTTCCTCTTCTCATAAGGACACTAGGCCTACTCCTGAGATACCCCGTTTATTCATTAAGCCATTTATCTATGAATGGATTAGTACATTCCTGAGGTCCAAACCCTCAAGATCCAATCAACTCTTTTTTTTTTTTTTTTTTTTTTTTGAGACAGAGTCTTGCTCTGTCGCCCAGGCTGGAGTGCAGTGGCACGATCTTGGCTCACTGCAAGCTCCGCCTCCCGGGTTCACGCCATTCTCCTGCCTCAGCCTCCCAAGTAGCTAGGACTACAGGTGCCCGTCACCACACCCAGCTAATATTTTGTATTTTTAGTAGAGATGGAGTTTCACTGTATTAGCCAGGATGGTCTCAATCTCCCGACCTCCCAAAGTGCTGGAATTACGGGTGTGAGCCACCGCGCCCAGTCCCAATCAACTGTTTTTTTTTTTTTTTTTTTTTTTTTGAGATGGAGTCTGGCTCTGTCACCCAGGCTGGAGTGCAGTGGCGCGATCTCGGCTCACTGCAAGCTCCGCCTCCCGGGTTTACGCCATTCTCCTGCCTCAGCCTCCCGAGTAGCTGGGACTACAGGCGCCCGCCACCTCGCCCGGCTAGTTTTTTGTATTTTTTAGTAGAGATGGGGTTTCACCGTGTTAGCCAGGATGGTCTCGATCTCCTGACCTCGTGATCCGCCTGTCTCGGCCTCCCAAAGTGCTGGGATTACAGGCTTGAGCCACCGCTCCCGGCCTCCCAATCAACTCTTAAAGCCCCACATTTCATTATTGTCATATTGAGGATGAAGTTTCAGCATGAGTTTTGGAGAGCACAAGCATTCACACCTAGCAGTGGCTAACAGGTATTCTCTCTCTGCTGACCATATAACAAACTTCCAAACTCTCAGAGGGGGAATAGGAGTTAAAATATATATTTTTACTTTTATTATATTTTTTGAGACAGGATCTCACTGTATTTTTTAAGCTGGAGTATAGTGGCATGATCACGGCTCACTGCAGCCCCAACCTCCTGGGCTTGGGTGATGCTCTCACCTCAGCATCCTGGATATCTGGGACTACAGGCATGTGCCACCACATCTTGGTATTTTTTTTTTATTATTATTATTTGTAGAGACAAGGTCTCACCATGTTGCCCAGGCTGGTCTCGAACTCCTGGGCTTAAGTGATGCACCTGTCTTGGCCTCCCAAAGTGCTGGGATTACAGGCATGAGCCACTGAGTCAGACCTAGTTTTATTTTTTGTTGAGAAAAGGGCTCACTATGTTACCCATGCTGGTCCTAAACTCCTGTTCTTAAGTGATCCTTCCACTTTGGCCTCCCAAAGTGATGGGATTGCAGGCCTGAGTCACCATGCCTGGCCCCAATATTTTGCATAAACAGTTTAGGCCCACTCAGCCTCTGCTTTAGTTACGTTGTTGGGACCCCTTTCTTAGTCCAGTGCCTAGACACCATGAAACATCCAAGTTTGCAAACGAGCCTTTGTCAGGATATGCAGTTTCAGGACTGGGAGTGGTAATTCTTCTACACAATAGGTAGTTATACTTTGTCATGACAAGAACTACACAAACTGCTGTAGAAATAGACATCATGGTGACACAGGCAATAAGACTCACTCACTTAACTCACCAACAAGAGGCAGGTTCCTATTCGACTGTTACTTTACCAAACACATTCAACTAAAGCATCACAATGGTTTTGTTGGAAAAAGTGAGTGTAGACAGAGTAAGAGTGGGTTTACTATGTCATTGAATAAATGCTTGGAAACCACAGCATCATGCAAAGTTTATGCAGTGAGTATGGATTCTCAGTGCTGTCCGTCTCAACCTTCCTCCTCTGCACATGTGGGATGTTTCAGGACTCAGTGGCCTTTGAAGATGTGGCTGTGAACTTCACACAAGAGGAGTGGGCTTTGCTGGGTCCATCACAGAAGAGTCTCTACAGAAATGTCATGCAGGAAACCATTAGGAATCTGGACTGTATAGGTAAGGATGACATCATCTCTTCACTCAGTCAATTGGAGACATTTGTTTCCTGGTCATCAACGCTGTTCGTGATTTGAAATATGGAAAGGACATATGGTTGGCCCTTGAACAACACAGGGTTTAGAGGTGCCAGCCCCTCAAATAGACTTGCATCCTTTAATAACTTTTTTTGTCCCCCACAACTTAACCACTAATAATCTATTGTTGACTGGCCCACTTATTGATAACATAAACATTAGATTAATCCATATATTGTATGTCACATGTATTATATACTGTACTCTCACAATAAAGTGAGCTAGGGAAGGAAAATGTTGATGAGAATCATAAGAAGAGAAACTGGCCGGACGCAGTGGCTCACGCCTGTAATCCCAGGACCTTGGGAGGCCGAGGCGGGTGGATCACGAAGTCAGGAGATCGAGACCATCCTGGCTAATGGTGATTAGCCCGTTTAATTTAGTAGAAACCCTGTTTCTACTAAAATTACAAAAAAAATTAGCCAGGCGTGGTGGCGGGCGCCTGTAGTCCCAGCTGCTCGGGAGGCTGAGGCAGGAGAATGGCGTGAACCCGGGAGGCAGAGCTGACAGTGAGCTGAGATCGTGCCCACTGCTCTCCAGCCTCAGTGACAGAGCAAGACTCCGTCTCAAAAAAAAAAGAAGAGCAACTATATTTACTATTCATTAAGTGGAAGTAGATCATCATAAAGGTTCTCACTCTTGTCGTCTTCACATTGAGTGGGCTGAGGAAGAGGAGGGGTTGGTCTTGCCATCCCAGGGGTAGCAGAGACTGAAGAACATTCATGTATAAGTGGAGCTGTGCAGTTCAAACCCATGTTGTTGAAGAGTCACATGTACTTTGGTGAATGAATCATGCCTGATTGCAGTACACGTAAAATCTTAAGAGTTTTTCTACAATTTGGTAAAAATTTTTAGTGATTTTCCTGGGTCTACCTTTTAGAAACGAAATGGGAGGACCAGAACATTGGAGATCAGTGCCAAAATCCCAGGAGAAATCTAAGGTAATTTGCGCTCACAAAAGAAAGCTATGTGCCTGCAGTGGTTCATAGAATGATAAGAAAATTTTAAAAACAAGCAGAGAAAGTAAACAAGCCCAGCTTAAATTTGTTCATTCTAATAATTCTTTTTCTGACCAAGCACAGTGGCTCACACATGTAATCCCAGCACTGTGGGAGGCCAAGGTGGGAGGATTACTTGAGTCTAGGAGTTTGAGATCAGCCTGGGCAACATAGTGAGATCCCCATCTCTATAAAAAAATTTTCCCCAGGAACATATAGTTAAATGTGACATAGCTATTCAGTCTTTGCAAAATAGTTCCCTTGGAAATGGAATTAAGAATCTCCATGTGGGCCAGGAGTGGTGGCTCACGCCTATAATCCCAGCACTTTCGGGGGCTGAGGTGGGTAGATCACCCGAGGTTGGGAGTTCAAGACCAGCCTGGCCAACATGGAGAAACCCCGTCTCTACTAAAAATACAAAATTAGCCAGGCGTGGTGGCGCATGCCTGTAATCCTAGTTACTTGGGAGGCTGAGGCAGGAGGATTGCTTGAACCTGGGAGGCAGAGGTTGCGGTGAGCCGAGATTGCGCCATTGCACTCCAGCCTGGGCAACAAGCGCAAAGCTCCGTTTCAAAAGAAAGAAAAAGAAAGAAAGAAAGAAAGAAGAAAGAATCTCCATGTGAATATCACTGTTTTGCTAATAGCTGTCATGGGACCATCTTACACAGCACTGTCTCTTCACATTCAAACAGGATGAAGCCTGTACTTGCATGATAATGTTAAAAATGTAAATCTAGTACTTCAATACACATAAAATCACTTGTAAACAAACCTTTAGTAATGTATTTCTTATTTGTTACAGAAGTCATACATGTGAAATTAAAGATGATAGTCAATGTGGAGAAACTTTTGGCCACGTTCCAGATAGTATTGTGAACAAGAACACTCCTCAAGTAAATCCATGTGACAGCAGTGGGTGTGGAGAAGTCGCCATGGGTCATTCATCTCTTAATTGCAACATCAGAGTTGACACTGGACACAAATCATGTGAGCATCAGGAATATGGAGAGAAGCCATATACACATAAACAACGTGGGAAAACCATCAATCATCAGCATTCCTTTCAGACACATGAAAGGCCTCCCACCGGAAAGAAACCCTTCGATTGTAAAGAATGTGCAAAAACCTTCAGTTCTCTTGGAAACCTTCGCAGACACATGGCGGCACACCATGGAGATGGACCTTATAAATGTAAGTTGTGTGGGAAAGCCTTTGTTTGGCCCAGTTTATTTCATTTGCACGAAAGAACGCACACTGGAGAGAAACCGTATGAATGTAAGCAGTGTTCCAAAGCCTTTCCTTTTTACAGTTCCTATCTAAGACATGAGAGAATCCACACGGGAGAGAAAGCGTATGAATGTAAACAGTGTTCCAAAGCCTTTCCTGATTACAGTACCTATCTAAGACATGAAAGAACTCACACCGGAGAGAAACCCTATAAATGTACACAATGTGGGAAAGCCTTCAGCTGTTACTATTACACTCGACTCCACGAAAGGACTCACACGGGAGAACAACCCTATGCGTGTCAGCAATGTGGGAAAACGTTTTATCATCACACAAGCTTTCGAAGACACATGATAAGGCACACTGGAGATGGACCTCATAAATGTAAGATATGTGGGAAAGGCTTTGATTGTCCTAGTTCGGTTCGAAATCATGAAACGACTCACACTGGAGAGAAACTCTATGAATGTAAGCAGTGTGGGAAAGTTTTATCTCATAGCTCAAGCTTTCGAAGTCACATGATAACACACACAGGAGATGGACCCCAGAAATGCAAGATATGTGGGAAAGCCTTCGGTTGTCCCAGTTTATTTCAAAGACACGAAAGGACTCACACTGGAGAGAAACCCTATCAATGTAAACAATGTGGTAAAGCCTTCAGTCTGTCCGGTTCCCTTCGAAGACATGAAGCAACTCACACTGGAGTGAAACCGTATAAATGTAAATGTGGGAAAGCCTTTAGCGATCTCTCTTCCTTTCAAAATCATGAGACAACGCACACTGGAGAGAAGCCGTATGAGTGTAAGGAATGTGGGAAAGCGTTCAGTTGTTTCAAATACCTTTCTCAGCATAAAAGGATCCACACAGTAGAAAAACCTTATGAGTGTAAAACATGTAGGAAAGCCTTCAGTCATTTCAGTAACTTAAAAGTCCACGAAAGGATTCACTCTGGAGAGAAGCCGTATGAATGTAAGGAATGTGGGAAAGCATTCTCTTGGCTCACTTGCCTTCTAAGACATGAAAGAATTCACACTGGAGAGAAACCCTATGAATGTCTCCAATGTGGTAAAGCCTTCACTCGTTCCCGTTTCCTTCGAGGACATGAAAAAACTCACACTGGAGAGAAGCTGTATGAATGTAAGGAATGTGGGAAGGCACTGAGTTCTCTCCGTTCCTTGCATAGACATAAAAGGACTCACTGGAAAGATACTCTGTAAATGTATGGAATGTGGGAAAACATTCAGTACTTTTATTCAATTTCAGAAACTGAAAGAACTCACTTTGGAGATAGACCCTATGAATGTAAACACGGGATAAAGCCTTAAGTAGTTTCAATTTTTTTTTTTTTTTTTTTTTTTTTTTGAGACGGAGTCTCGCTCTGCCGCCCAGGCTGGAGTGCAGTGGACAGATCTCAGCTCACTGCAAGCTCCGCCTCCTGGGTTCACGCCATTCTCCTGCCTCAGCCTCCTGAGTAGCTGGGACTACAGGCGCCCGCCACCTCGCCCGGCTAGTTTTTTTTTTTTGTATTTTTAAAGTAGAGACGGGTTTCACCGTGTCAGCCAGGATGGTCTCGATCTCCTGACCTCGTGATCCGCCCGTCTCGGCCTCCCAAAGTGCTGGGATTACAGGCTTGAGCCACCGCGCCCGGCCGTAGTTTCAATTTTTTAAATACAGTTATCCCCCAATATATTGCAAGGGATTGGTTCCAGCACCCCCTAAATCCACAGATGTCAAGTCCTTTGTTATATGGCATATTTGCATGTAACCTATGCACATCCTCCTGTATACTGTGTAAGTCATCTCTAGATTACTTTTAATACCTCATGCATTGTAAAAGCTATGTAAATAGTTGTTTGATTGTATTGTTTAGAGAATCCTGACAAGAAAAATAGTCTCTACGTGTTCAACGCAGACACAACCATTGCAGGCCCACCTACAGAGTATATGTCACCCAGAACATTAAAATTTCTTCGTTTTAACATTCACAGATTGCTTTTGTTTTGTGACCTGAATGAGCATGTGAACACTCATCAAAATCCTGCTTCTCTCTTGATAACCCAAGTATAATGATGATGATGATGATGATGATGATTGCTGGATGGTGCCTAACACTGTCACGTGTTGTAGCATTGTAGATAAGCAGTGAGACATCAGGCTAAGTTGAATCTTGACAGAATGTCAGGAAGATCATCAGTGTTGAAAGAACTAGGTTCTGATGCAGATGTTGACTTGTTGGAGGAGGCCAAATAATACTACTGTCAAGCTCTGTTCAGCTTCAGTGCTGCAGATCCTTAACCATGGAAGGTTCTGTGTTTACGTTTGCAGGTGCTTAGTGAGAAGTGTAGGAAGCTACTTTTTCTTTTTTTTTGAGTCATCAAAAAAATCTTGCACTGTTTGTTGGCATGTTATTCCGTGGGTGACATGGAGGCTTATTTCCATCAAAGGATCTTACCTGAGGATGATGAACTTTCTTAATACTTTTGTCTATTGAAAAACTGCACATGTTTCAAGTGTCCAAATCTGTGGCCCTGCCTCTTTTAAGTCATCGTCATCATCATCAATCTATAGAGCATTTCAGCACATCTTTGAGTTCCTTGTTGTAAGAATTTATGCTCGGCCGGGCGCGGTGGCTCAAGCCTGTAATCCCAGCACTTTGGGAGGCCGAGACGGGCGGATCACGAGGTCGGGAGATCGAGACCATCCTGGCTAACATGGTGAAACCCCGTCTCTACTAAAAAATACAAAAAACTAGCCGGGCGAGGTGGCGGGCGCCTGTAGTCCCAGCTACTGGGGAGGCTGAGGCAGGAGAATGGCGTAAACCCGGGAGGCGGAGCTTGCAGTGAGCTGAGATCCGGCCACTGCACTCCAGCCTGGGCGGCAGAGCGAGACTCCGTCTCAAAAAAAAAAAAAAAAAAAAAAGAATTTATGCTCTTCCGTGTGTTCCTCCACATCGTCTTCAGTCCTGTCAGAGATAGCCTTTCTTACCAACTTCCCTTGCAATATTTAAGATATTCTTGGCCAGGCGCGGTGGCTCATACCTGTAATCCCAACACTTTGGGAGGCCGAGGAGGGTGGGTCACCTGAGGTCAGGAGTTTGAGACCAGCCTGAGCAATATGATGAAACCCTGTCTTTACTAAAAATACAAAAATTAGCCAGGTGTGGTGGCATGCACCTGTAATCTCAGCCACTCAGGAGGCTGAGACAGGAGAATCACTTTAACCCAGGAGGTGGAGGTTGCAATGAGCCGAGATCACACCATTGCACTCCAGCCTGGGCAACAGAGTGAGACACCATCTCGGAAAAAAAAAAAAAAAAAGATATTCTTAACTATTGCATCAATAGTGGGGAAGCCCCTGAAATCATTGACTCCCTCTCTCCATAATGGCTTCCAGCTTGCTTTGGGGTTCTTGAGCTTTGGGGCATCTATAGCCTCTGCAGTGAGAACTGTTGCATGTGCAATTGTGAAGTGCTTTCATAAATCCACTATGGTACAGTCAGAGTTAGCATCAGGATGGCATGAATCCTCCCGAAGGTCAGGTAAGTATAAGTCACCTTAATCTACTTGATTATGCCTTAATTGAGTAGCTGTCACTGTGATGTAGTGTTAGGAGCAGGGACATCACTTCCACATTCTTAGTGGCAAAGCAGAGATTGGAGATGATCAGGAGCATTGTCAATTATGAGAAGGACCTTGAGTGGCAGTCCCTTCTCTTCAAGGTTTTTTTTTTTTTTTGAGATAGAGTCTCACTCTGTCACCAGGCTGGAGTGCAGTGGCGCGATCTCAGCTCACTGCAACCTCTGCCTCCCAGGTTCAAGCGATTCTCCTGCCTCAGCCTCCCAAGTAGCTGAGACTACAGGCACATGCCACCAAGCCCAGCTAATTTTTGTAATTTTTTTTTTTTTTTTTTTTTTTTTTACTAGAGATAGGGTTTCACCATGTTGGCCAGGATGGTCTCGATCTCTTGGCCTCATGATCTGCCCACCTCAGCCTCCCAAAGTGCTGGGATTACAGGTGTGAGCCACTGCGCCCAGCCTCTTCAAGACATTTCTTCCTTTTTTTTTTTTTTTTCTGGAGATGAAGTCTTGCTTTGTCACCCAGGTTGGAGTGCAGTGGCGATCTTGGCTCACTGTAACCTCCATCTCCTGGGTTCATGCAATTCTCCTGCCTCAGCCGCCTGAGTAGCTGGGATTACAGGCATGCACCACCACGCCTGGCTAATTTTTGCATTTTTAGTAGAGACAGGGTTTCACCATATTGGTCAGGCTGGTCTTGAACTCCTGACCTCAAGTGATCCACCCACTTCAGCCTCCCAAAGTGCTGAGATTACAGGCGTGAGCCACCACGTCCAGCCTCTTCAAGGTATTTCTTCACATCAGGAATGAAGCCTTGGTAGAACCATTCCAAGGACAAGATGGCCATTACCCAAGCCTTCTTGTATTTTTGCCAGAATGGAGGCAGGCAAGTTTTGCTTTTGTTCTAAAGGACCTAGGGATTATTTGCTCAAGAGCCAAGGCCTGGCTTGTTCTTGTGACCTGCCACATTGCCACACTGCACCAGAGTAGGTGATCTTTCCAGGCCCTGAACCCCAGGGCCTCCTTGGCAGTCATGGATGTAGGTACCACTGGATCTCTTTCTTTTTTTAGGGCTTACCAAATTCATTACAATGGAGGACTTGCTTTGGAAGGTAGACTTTCTTTTTATGAGTTTTGTGAGCTCTGCTGGGAATGCTAATATTGCATTGGCATAAGCCAGTGTCAATTCTCCTGTGGTCTTTAAATGTTTGAGGCTCTGGTGCTTTATGTAGCTAGCGCAGCCAGACAATACTGGCCTGAAACTCCTTTTTCTTGCTCTCCTCAACCTTCTCACAGTGGTATTCATAGAGGCTGTTTTTTCACACTTTATTTTATTATTAAAAGGGATGTTGTTTAGCGATGTGTCCTCTAGCCACACACTTAATGCTTTCTCAGTCTTTATACTCAGTTTATCATGAAGCAGAGGAGTCGTTTTTCCCATTATAGAGGCAGCTCTAAGACTTCCAAGAATTTCAGCTTCTTTCTGCTTTAGTGTGTGAATGCTTAGTTTGTTCTTACCATGTGGCCCATTTTCAAAAGTGACATGGCATTTTTCAGAACACCTCTCTAAGATTTTTTTTTTCTCATTGAGAAATAGCACTTTTTGCTCCCTGCTAGCCTTTTAGGGATAGCTTTGACCACTTGATTAGTTTTTAGGACCCATTTTTCCATTTTTTTATATATGGCATCTCAAGGGACTCTGAACAGACAAAACAAGAATTGAAAAACAAGAGCAAAGTTGGTAGACTGACACTTCCTGATTTCAAAACTTAGAGCAAATTTATACTAATAAAAAAATTTAGTGTCAGCATACTGACACAGAAATAGACAATTGTGACAAAATACACAGGACAGAAATACATGTTTGCCTAGTGTCCAACAATTTTTGACATGCATATTATGATGATACAATGGAAGATAAGATCATGTTTCCATAGACTGATGCTGGAGGAAAATGCACATCCATATGCAACAGAATGAAAATGTACCCTTCCCTGGCCAGGCACGGTGGCTCACGCCTGTAATCCCAGCACTTTGGGAGGCTAAGGCTGGCAAATCACCTGAGTTCAGGAGTACAAAACCAGCCTGACCACACCGTCTTTATTAAAAATACAAAATTAGCTGGGCATGGTAGCGCATTCCTGTAATCCCAGCTACTTGGGAGGTTGAGGAAAGAGAATCGCTTGAACCCAGGAGGTGGAGGTTGCAGTGAGCTGAGATCGCTCCACTGCCCTCCAGCCTGGTGACAGAGTGAGACTCTGTCTCAAAAAAAAAAAAAAGTATATGGCAAAAGCTTTATGAACCTGGATTTTCCAATGATTTCCTGGATATGACACCAAAGGCATGACCCATAAGAGAAAAAAGAAATGGAAATGTATGAAATTTTAAAACTTTTGGCATCAAAATAGACAACCCATAGAATGAGAGAAAGCATTTCCATTCGTGTATCTGACAAGAAATTAATATGCAGACTGCTGAGAGAACTCTAAAAAGTCAACGACAAAAAGCAGACCACCTGTTATAGAATAAATGTGTCCTCATAAAATTCACTCATTCTAATCCATTTCCCTAATGTGACAGAATTAGGGAATGTCTTCTTTGGGATATAATACAGACTAGGTTAGATCATGAGAGTGGAGCCTCAATAATGAAATCAGTTACCTATTGTGAATCCTCCCAACAGCTTGCTTTTTTGCTCTCTGCCTTGGGGGATACTTTAAGATAGCTATCTATGAGGCTAGGCATGGTGGTTCTTGCCTGCAATCCAAGCA